ACCTAAATAGTTATTTCGTTAACTTAGTTTTTCACAGTTTGACTAAAACAACTCTATCAGTGCAATTACAAACAAATTTGCGCTTTTTATTGGCTAAGAAACAAAAGAATTTTTTCAGCCAATAAGAATCAAGCTTTCTTTGTAACTGAAAACTTTTCTCAAGAATCCAAGATGGGGGACACTTCGCCGATAACAGAGAAAAAAGTATTCAAAAACTATCAACAACTGCTTAAAAGAAATAACAAAAGCTTTCTCACTGAAGAATTGGACTAGGATTTTGTATTTGTGAAGTTTCAAGCTTGCTAGTTAYCATTTTAAGACGATTTTGCATCGGAAATAGTCTCGCCTTCCTCACCCGTCCAGCTCGATGAAATTCAGTACAGTTTCAACGTGAAACCAGCTCAAATACTGGCTTTTTTTCCACATTAGCATTGCTTTAAAATGGAGTAAATCATGCTTTTTTCATCAGTAAAAATGACAAAGTACAAGTTTTGAAATTGAACTTTATTTTGCTTCAATTTTTTGAATTCTTTTGAACAAAAGAAAGCCTTATATGTTATACACTATGGTGTTTTTTGCTACCTTTGATAGTAAGACAAGTGTAATAATTGTTTGTCAAGAAGAAAATAAAAAGACTTAGTTTGCATTGATGATATTTTGCTTACATGTTGTTTTTATCGTTGGCTACTTGTCTATAGCCTTGACAGTTTTGGCTTCAATTTTTTCATGTATATTATTAATAAAGAATTATAAAATTTTTGATATATAACGCGCGCTCTGATTGGCTGGCGACCGTGTTTATATCAGAGGAAAGAGAAACGGCTTACCGGCAAAATGTTCTTTTCGCTCGAAAAATTTTATAAAAGAAATATAAAACGCTCTGCCAATCAGAGCGCGCGTTATATATCAAAAATTTTATAATAGGTAATAATATGGTTTCGAGTTCAATTTGGATTAATTTGCACTCGTTTGTTTTTCAAAGAGTCAAACTAATTATGGCCTCTTTGAAAAGCAAACTCGTGCAAATTAATTCCAAATTGAAATCGAAACCATCTTATTACCTATACAAAGAAGAAGTCGTATTTGACTCTAATATGTCGTATTTACTTTGATTTAAGCGTCGCTTTACTCACATTCTTGATAATGTTTGTCAATTTGTATTCTGCACATGCGTGTGATGATGTAAAGTTCGGAGTAACAAGTTTATAGCTACAAAATCAACTTTTCCTGTTGATTCATTTATACTGACAAAGAGTAATTATTTACATCGCTTACAAAAAAATACTAACAGCTGCATACATACCAGGGCATGGATGAGTGCTGCAGTTCTTTGTCTTCTTGTAAGGTCCAGTGCAGTTCTTTCCACCATGAGCAGGTGCTGGGTTGGTGCAAGAACGACTTCGATATCGTGTCCCATTACCACATGACAGAGAACAAGATGTCCAGTTGCTCCACTCGGTAAAATTACCAT